TAGCTATTGCAACCAACCTAATGGCTATGGCCTCCCACCCAATAGCTTTGGCCTCCCACCTAATAGCCATGGCCTCCAACCTAATAGAAAAGCTTGACAAAAACTTCGAATGAACCATTGAGAGCCGATGCCTTTCCTTTCTCCCGTGGATGACGCGGCTGGGGAACTGAGTGCATGGCCCTGACAGATCTCGCAGGCCCTTCTCCTTCTTGCCATAGTAAACACCCTGCGGCGTCAGATTGTGAATGAAGAAACGAAAGAAAATGCAAAAAGATTCTTTACAAGTAGTAAGGCACTCGTTTCTAGTAGCAAACATTGTTTCTACTAGTAAGGCACTTGTTACTACTAAGTTTGTTTCTTCCACACCTGACAGCAATTCGACTCCCAAGTTCGATGTTTCTTCCGCGAGAAGACAAACGGCTGCAAACCCTGACGGCGAGAAGAGGCGCCACAAACGACGTACGAAACGAAAACGAGAACTGTTGATATATATATATATACGCCGTTGATCCGCTGGCCTGTTGGTACAAGGATTTCTTCTTCCGCAAATTCAGGATGCGGAAGTGCACGGTGCCGCAAAACTGGCCATTCCTATGTCGGCAGAGTGTTCTGTTCAACGGTGTTGTTTTTTCTGTCTTACTATTCTTCTTTATTCTTCTCATTCTCACTTCTCTTCTCAGCCTGATGGCAAAGTAGAACCACTGAGTGTGGCCCTGGGCACTTTGCGTGTCCGAATCCACAAGGAGCTCATACCTTGAAAAAGAAAATAGGGAAAAAACTCTGTGCTTAGCTCTTTGGCTTCTTTGTTACTACTAGTAACAAGTGCATCGCTACTAGTAACAAGTGCCTTACTAGTAGTAACAAGAAGCTAGTTAATTTAGATTTATTTGTTTAAAATAATATTGGTAAGTATTATGACTAGCTCTCTTTGGCACTCCTTACTGCGACGTTTTTGGGAAGTCAAGGCACTCCAGCTCTGTGGCACCGGGGCCCGGGGTCTGCGCGCCTGGCGAACGGAGATATAGATATCTCTTCAATCGTTTTAAAGAGATGTGTCCTTGAGATTGTCGAATAGAAAGGTGTGTGAAAAATAGCAAGAAGGAAGAACACAAAAGGAAGAAACAAAGAAAATGACGTCTTCCAACATCTTCCCTCAGTGCAAGTTGCCTTTTGAAGTGCACACAAGCTTTGCACAAAGCAGGTTGCCACATTCAAAATGTGATGAGAAGCGCAACCTGAGGCAAAAAGGCACGTTCCTTAGACGTGTAGAACACATCAACGTGACGAAACGTCATAAGCTTCAGGACGGCCCATCCACTGTCCTCCGAGCTGATTGAGGTGAGCCTCCGAGAAAAAAGAAAAAACGATGACGATGTCGTTGTGGGAAGTTTGGAAAAATGTCAGAAGTCCGCTCAAAAGTGCCAAGAAACAGCGCCAACAGTGTTGACTGACGGTGAAGCTTACGGCCTCGTCCATCAAAGAAAGGTGAGGTGACATGGCCCTTCCAAGGCCTCCACATACGACGATCAAGGAACGAGAAGCGAAGCATGGCGAACTACACAAAGGACGTGGAGCAGAGACAAAGCACTGCAGTGGAGCGCAGTAATTTCAAGTTCACAAAGTTTCTTGCAATGGTTTTAGGGCCTAAAAGATGTACAGAAACAAAGTGAAGTTTCTTTGCACTTCATTTATCTTCAGTTGCCTGCTTTCATCCATCTCCGCAGCTTGACGAACCAAGTCTGCCAGCATTGACCTGGCACATGAAACATCGTCAGCTTTGCAAGTCACGTTGTAACAAACTTAAGAGTTGCAAAATGTGCGAATTAGATGACCACAGCAATCTCAGCGCCTCCGCTGCGCTAACTCCTGAGCAGTAAGTTGTGCGCAACCCAAAACTGATACAAAGGAGGATGCAGAGCTGGAGAAAGCAAAAATGAATCGGTCGAGGACGTGAAAGTTCTTCCCCTTGAAAACAAAGTGAGCCCAAGAAACTAGAAGCAAAACAGGGGCGGGCTGCTGAGTGGTGAAATCTGCGCGCGGGCGACGACACGGAAGTACAAATAGCAGAACGTCCAAGCCAGGAAGCAGCAAGCAAGCAACCAGAAGATACCAAAAGGAAAATACATACGAAGAGAGCATGGAGCTTGGAGTGAGGACAAGAGAAGAAGAATTTTGCGGCCAGAAATGTTTTGCACTTTTTTGGGCAAGTTGAGCGTCCAGTCTCTTTGCGTCTCCTTTGCGGACACACACTCCTGTAGAAATCGCCCGACTTTGCACTTGATCTTGCAAACACACCTATTTGTTTCATACCGCTTGCTCGTGAGTCGTGTGAAAAAGTTGAACGGTTTGGGACTTTGCGCTCGTCTATCAACGGAGGCTTATTGGCCTCAAACAAGTTCTGATGCTTTCCACTGCTGCGCGCAAACATTCGCAGAGCTACATTACATTCGGAGAGCATCTCAAGCCCCTCTACAAACTTCTACGAAAGCTCACCCCAGCCCAGGAGCATCATCCATTCACAGGGCAAAGAAAAAACAATCATCTGTGTCACAGTCGCACCTGCGGACGCACAAGCCGCTTGCTCACTGCTTTGGACTGGGCCCTGTAGCATGAATCGTTGCAAGGACACCGCCCTTAAAAATTAGATTGCAGGGTAGATTGTACTCAACCTTCCGCGAGATATTCGGTCAATTTGGTGATCCACGCGCCAACCGTCCCCTGCCGCACTCCCCGCCGAATCCCCCAGGCGTCTATATATTCAAATCATATGCTGCGTGTCCGCACCGATCGAACCCTGATCCCCAGTTTTTACCATTTGCAACACCTTTGCATCGTCCTGCCTTACTAATTCTGCCACACCCACCCAGATCATCGGTTCCCGACACTCTCTCCTGCAAGGTATCCATGACTTGAGGCCAGGGGGAGAGGTCGAAAGCTAGCCGAATCGCACCGGATGTACTAGTTACATAGTCGGCAAAGCATGTAGGGATGACATGTTTTGGGAGGAAGGTTGCTATGTACATACTTTGCGCTAAAGAATGTAAATGTGACAAAGCCTGACTGGGAAGGGTACATTGGAACAACCCGGGTGCACTCGTTGGCAGGCACGAAGATGCGTGATCGGCAAATCTGGGGGGTAAATTTACCCTCCGCTTTTGTATGCCATCATACGGACTGTACATACACTAGGGCGTCCGTAGTGTAGGAGAAGCACGGGTAAAAGGTATATGTAATAGAGTGTCTTGAGGAAATAGCCGGTGTATGGTTATTGCAAATCTGGGGGGTAAATTTACCCCCCGCTTATGTATGCCTTGCGCTGGAAAGAGGGGCAAGCATTTCTGGCATCACAAGGACTGTGCATACACTAGGGCGTCCGTAGTGTAGGATAAGCACTGGTAAAAGGTATCAAGAATAGAGTGTCTTGAGGAAATAGCCGGTGTATGGTTATAGCAAGCCTGGGGGGTAAATTTACCACCCGCTTATGCATGCATTAGGTTAGAAATAGGGGTAAACAACTTGTAACGGTGAAGTACAAGTCCTATGCAGCAAGCAGCAGCCAGCAGCAGCAGCAGCAGCAGCAGCCGCCTGCAGCCAGCAGCCAGCAGCCAGCAGCAACCACCAACCAGCAGCCAGCCAGCAGCACCACGCAGCAGCAGCGCAGCATCAAGCCGCAGCAGCAGCAGCACCACCGGCAGCAAGCACCACCGGCAGCAAGCAGCAAGCAGCAGCAGCAAGCAGCAAGCAGCAGTAGCAGCGGCGTCGTCAGCAACAGCAGCAGCAGCACCAAGCCGCAACAAGTAGCAAAGCAGCAGCTACAAAAGCGGCAACCAGCGGCAGCAGCAAACAGCAGCAGCAAGCAGCAGAGCGGCAGCAGCAGCAGCACCCTTTACACCAAGCCACCGTTACACCCAACCAACCACGTTCACACGTTCAACCAACCCCCTACACGGCGCAGCTGGGAGTTGAACCGCGGGGGGGGGTAGCTTGATATATCAATCTTTAAAGCACGCAGCCCCTCCCACCACAACATTGCTAAAGCAAAGAAGAACTCAGCTAGCATGCTAGCTTTCGTGACTATGACCATCAACATGTTTCCTCATTCCCTGGTCCTGGGGAAGACAACCAAACCCAAACATCAGAGATGCTCTGTTTCTTCCACACAGCATGCGGAACGTGGCCGGGGCCGAAACTTACCGTCGCCACCGTATATATGAAAAAGGATGTTCACGAGGTCATGAGCATTAAGTGATGTCACGCGATCAATCATGACATTCGACATGCGCCAATATCCTGCGCGCGCCGTCTCCGACACAGTCTACAGGCCTCTGTCATTAGGAAGACTGACTGAACAGGTCACCGAAGATGTGACACAATCCCAATCCGTACCGTAGCTTTTTTGACTCCTCTGCAAGTCGAGAACGTTTTGTCCGGCAGCCACGCGTCTACTTCCGAATTCACACTCCTTCTAATGGTAATCTTTCCACATGAAAACATCTTCAATCAACTCCTGGACCACGCATCAACCAGCAATTCAGCAAACCAGCTAGGAACAGGGGGACGTCATCTGGCGGCGTCTGGATATTGAAACACAAATCGGTAGGACACGGCAAAAGGTTGCAGAGTATTCCTTCAGCCCCGCTTTCAGTAGCTTTTGACTGCGCGCGATCCAATAGTAATCCTGCAAGACGCCCAGAACGCAGCGCGCTGCGCCCTCAAAGGAAACACCATCACAAGGATACGAGGGGAAGGCCATCACTGGCCTTCGCAAAATGTTCTGTTACCCCAAAGTGACTGGAGCACAAAACCACAACCGTGAACCGTGTGGCAATCCCTAAAAACTTGCCCCCGAAAAGGGCACTAGCTTCGTCCTCGGTCTAGTTGCCCGGCAAGAACTCCTTGCAGTTTATTGTCCAATATCGCTTTGTGGAACAATGCGAAAGCTTTGGCCGGCTTAGATCGCCCAGCCCCATGTGAAAGATGATGTTGATGGACAGTTCAACTCCTCCATCTCTCTCGATCCATTTCTGGAAATCGTCATCCCTCGCCGCCCCAAAAGAAGGGTCAAACAAGTCACTTGCTGAGACGTCGTGAGGAAGTAAGCTGCGTAAATTGAGGCATCGTCTCTCTTGTCCGGGCCCGGCAGCCCACAGGCACAGCTGCATGCTTAGTGCCCTGCGATGCACAATGGCCCTTCAACAGGGGCAGTGGAGAATTCTATCTTCCAATCTCCCTTCTTGCCGAAACGCTTCCTTGCCCTCTAGCAAGAAAGCATTTCAGTTTTGCCAGCAGGCTGGTACAGTGTTCAGCCTTTTACGCTGCCCTTGGCTCTTGGCGCTTCAGCTCATACTCACCGCAGAGGCTGCACAAATTTCTGCAGTCTGCATCTCAAGGAGTGTCCTGTCAATGTAAACGATCTCCGGTCCTTGCAACTCTCTCTTGTCCTTGATGGGTCCTGCCGCGACTGAGCACTCCGCTTCCCAAATGCACGCGTGGCCTGGGATAGCTAGGCCACAGGTTCGAAACATTGCCGGTATTCGCTGGGAAACAAAATGAAGGCTCCACGAAAGCGCGTGCGTTCAGATCGGTGTTCCAGAAGGACTGGTGTATACAGTACGCCCTCGGCTGTCACAACCACATATGGAGGGTCGCGTCGGAAAGATGCAAGCGTTCTATGGCCCCAGTCCACGAGCGTTCTATAGTCTATGCTGCCAAACGCATCTCGCAAAAGGCCGCGCCGGAGAAGCCTGGTTGAAATCAACTCTGACATCATCAGTTCCATGGTCTTACCATTGCCATTAATCCTTTTCTCGCTGTGATCTCCCGCAAATTCTTCTAGCAAAGCATACTGCCTTTCTTCTACCACCTACGCATTGTACGCACTCCTCTGCTCGAGCGCGTCCAAGAAGCAAGACTATGCATCCCGTCAGAACTCCATTCTGAAGCCAGCATAAACGCAGCCCAAAGATTCCTTTCTGTTTCCTTTGAATGGGGCACATGCCCCACCAAAATGGCCTGCGCATTTGTGTCGAATCCCACTTCCATCCTGAGAAAATTGAATCATGCATTGCATTCCCAGCACATAAGCTCCAGATAGAAAGCCCATACGGACACAAAGAAACTGGTAGCCCGAGAGCTCAGCGGAGAAGGCATACACTGTGGAAAAGAACATAGTAGGGGGTACACTCCACCCATCTGTAAGCGCATACACAGACCCACTTCTGCTATCAATCGGAATCTCGGTTTTGTCCATTTCAGGCAGTACTTCGTCATCAAGAAGCGCCAACGCGCGAAATATATCAATTCTTTTTACAAGTTGACCACCGGAAAATCACCACACCACGTACGGGCAAAGCAGCTCTGCAAACCCATAGCGCAAGGCCCATACGCACAAGAAAGTCCGAAAACAGCGCGGCCGTGAACCTTGGTCGCCACCAATTCCGTAATCGAGCTGCGCGAGGAGGGTTTTGGCATCATGGCCCGCCATCGGGTCCTCTCGCCCTGCGGCTTGTCCAACTTTCTCTAGATTGCCACTTGCTCCGCTGTCTGGAATTGCTCGGGATTGAGTGACACAATTCCCCATACTTGCTAGCGGCGCCCTTCTGGCATCTCTGCAAACTGGCCTTCAACCTCGGTCTCCATCCCTGAAGGGCCAAACGTCTCACTTCATTTGCGGAGAACCGTTTGGAAGCTCACCTTCATCACACTGATAAAGAACATCAGCTGCTGAGTCCTTGAGTCCTCTGTCCTATGTTTTCGACATAACAGGCCATCTACAACATCCTTAATTGGCTCAATTTCCTGTTGACATGGGCTTCTGACCTCCTGCTCTTCGTCGGTCTTGTGCCTCATGCTGCCTTCTTCCTTCTCTTCGACATTCTTCATTTCGTTCTTTACCTGTTGAACCTCCTCTTCGTGCCGGGCATCTGCCTGTTTTAGGCCATCGAGGAGGCCTTCCTTCCGTCGGCTGTAGCTCGGCTTTGCTTGCCTGGATCTTTTCCATACGCGACACAACTCTTTTGTTTGTTGAGTTTGCGTTGCTGCTCCCTCAGTTGCTCACGAAGGCTCTCTGCAAGGCAGTTGCGCACCTCAAGCAGATTGTCTCCCTGACTACCCTTGTAAAGGTGAGGAGGAGGAGGAGGAGGACCCCGATCCTGATGAACCACCATTTGTGGAAAGCTAGACTGCGCCTGCCGTTGTGGGTGACAAGAACAGGGGCCTTGTCTCTCTCCTTCTCTCTCTCTCTCTCTCTCTCTCTCTCTCTCGCTCTCTTTTTTCTCGTTCCGCGCCTTTTTGCCTGGTTGGATCTTCCACTCCTGTGGCCATGCCTGTTTCCAGTCTTGGGCTTCTGGGTCTTTTCTGCTTCCATGACATTGCTCTATTCTGCTCACTGCTAAAGCGCTGCTGTGACGACCGACGCCAAAGCGTACCTGGGCTTCCTATGATGCCTTTCGAGCAACTTCTTGTTCGCCAGCAACTTCCTGAGGACACCTTTAAGCCAGCTCCTCTGTTGCTCATATAAAAGTTCTTACCGATCTAGTTGCCCTCCTGTTCCTATGCCAGTGGCTGTAGAGCAACTTGAGCAGCGCATGCAACACTAGTTAGTGCAGAAGGTCGCCTCAAACAATGCACGCGGCGACCCTCTGTTCGGGTCTGGGGCTCTAAGTAGCTGACCGCCTAGTCCAATCTTGAGCCCTCTTTCAAACAGAAAAACATGCGATGTCTCCTCTGGACATTTCCGCTGGAAGACGGTGCGCACCGACTTGGTCACAGGGACCTCGTCGCCTCGTTCTCTTTGGAACTCGCTAAAAGAAATGTTCTTTTTGAAAAAACCTCGCAACACGTGTTGTGTCCACGAAAATCGCTGAAGGTTTCCACACCTTCTCGATCTCGAGCAGGAGAAGCCTGGGAAAAGACTAGGAACGGGGAACAATACGAGGAAAGGGTAAAACACTAACAAAACATGATTAAAGTTAAAGACAGAAGCAATAATGCAAATCATAATCTTGATCATCAACGTACATGTATATATATATATATATGCAGGATGCCTTGCTTGGGCACCCTCCACCGCCTACCGGTGGGTACACATCAAATTTCTGAGAGTCTGGAGTCTGGACCGTTTTTCTAGACGCTACGAACGGGGCTGGCATCGGGAGAAAGGACGCTAGAAAAATAGAAGGCAAGAAACTTTCAAGTAGCGATTGAGGAAGGGACCCTCCCAGATTTGCTGAAGAGTCACTGGGTGATTCATGGCAAGAGCCATGCACAACACGGTTCGCAGTCAAAAAATTTAGCCGTGTTCTTTTGGTTTTTGACGCACACATCCTCTGGAATGCTGAGACCGGAAATTGAACTGGAATCTGGTACTGCTTTCAAGACCATCTGTGCGGGTGGTTGACTGGGGTCACCCAAAAGCAATCTGCCACGTCAGGCGCAAGCAAAGACTTACGGTGTCCCAAATGTAAGGACTCAACATTCCCAAATAGACTCAAAACTGTTTCAGTTTGAAAGAATCTAGCATTTTGAATGTCTTGATTTTGAGAAAGTGAGTTTGTCTGAAACGCAATAAATAGCAAATTCCAATGGATTTGCAAATAAAACGCAAGATCGGTAGCGAATTCCAATGGACTCGAAACGTCGAACTCCGAGGCCCGCGCACTGCGCCGGAGCTTCATGACGTGGCATGGCGGTGAAACGTCGGTGAAGTCGGTGAAGTCGTTTTGGCGAGTCCAAACTCACATTTCTTCGTCTCTTGCTGAGTCTTCGTTTTCATTCTCCAAAGGTTCGTATCTGGGTCGTCCTTTTTCGGGTTTGTGAAGTCTTAGAGTTGTAAAAGAATTGTCTTTCTCTCTGATTAAATTACATTCATTAGTTTTGTATTCCGTTTTCGAATCTAAACGCTGCGACTTGGACGAAATCGAGGCAACGTCAAGAGCAACAAGCCCTACAAAAACAACGTAACAGGAAATTTTGACAGCAACAGGAATATATAATTGAAGTATGTGAGTTAATAGAAGCAATGACTCATGTTAAAGTCCCTCTGGAAACCTGTCTGATGATGCAGCGCCATGTCGCGCTTTTGGATGAAGTGCAACGCGTTTTGCAGGCCGAGCTTTGTCCAATCTCTACCTGCGGACTCAGCATGTTGCAACAAAAACAACGAAAAGGCAGAACTGTTCGAAACGAAAAGTAGAAGAGGGAAAAAAAGATGAAAAAATATGAAAACGAGTTGTTCACTCTGGTCACTTCTGGTCGCCTTGCAAGGGCCTTCTTGGCCTCCTCGCGAACTCCGCGGTCAGTGTCTCTTGAGGAGACCGTCCTGCCAGCTCAAGGAAGGGACAAATTAGGATAAAACAATGCATGTTGATTTCCAGAAATCTAAAATGGAAATCAGCAAGGCTGAAGCAAGCGAAGTTGCTTCTCTGCATGGACGGCATTGAAACCAGATCGCTGCCTAGATCGAAAGGCAAGAAGGGCTTGTGCGGCTTGTGGTTTTCGAGAAAACGGCGAGAAACTCGAGAGTCCGCATAGAATTGTTGACGAAGGAGCCCCGTTCACTGCCTTTTTCTCTGTTCTCCTCACCTGACCTCTCTGTTTCTTGGCTGCACGTTTATCGTTACTTCTTGCATTTTGGCATGGAAAACAGATGAGGCTGCTTGTCGAGCTTCACCCTGTATGATCATATCATCTCCGCTGTAAATGTAAGCATATTGATTGGTTTACCAGCTTCAACAGTGGACAACGGCTTGGAAGTAGCCATTCCCCTTTGGGTCGGAGCTGGCGGAAGAAAAACCATTGGTCCAAAGCTGATCTACGCCGGTCGCTGGCGCAGACTGCAAGGATCTGGTGGTCTCACGCACAAAGCCTTCAATCGGAACAATCGGAAAGAAGGGCTTCCAGATGGGCGTCCGTCCGCCCGCACGTAGTAACAATGTTTGCTACTAGTAACAAGTGCCTTACTAGTAGTAACAAGAAGCTAGTAGTAACAGGTGCCACGCTAGTAGTAACAGGTGCCTTACTACTAAACCAGGCCATTCCGGCACCGCTGCATCCCAAAGCTCGCTTGACTCAGGCAATGTCACGCGCAACGCGCCAACAAATATTGTACTTGACATGGGGTCGCTTGCTTGACTGTTCCAATGGTTGCGCTCGAAGCTCCTGACAAGACACTCCTCCAAAGTTTCAATGCCCAATATGCAACTAAATGTGATGCTCCGATGAGCGTTTTCAGCGAAGCCTTTGCTGATTCTTTTCTGCAGTATTTGTACAAGTATTGTTGGGAAGAAGGCAACAGAACCTCTTCAGAGTTCATGTGACAGTTGCAACGTTTCCCCAAAATGTGCTCCCCTTTTGTAGTGAAATTCCGCTTGCTCAGCATGTGGATGAATGCTTGTCCTGAGGGAACCGTCCACCTGTCCCAATCTCCGAAAATACCAACTCTTCGCCCACGGCGTAGAAAATACCGCAGAAAAGCATCTTAACTTTTGAAGTGCCATTTTTTGAAACTTTCTTGACGAACCAAAGCTGCAAACCTAACTTTAGGACACTGAAATTTGCTCTCTGTTGACAAGTTCGTACAAAACATCAAAGTCGGAAAGCACTGTAACTGTAACATCCCTCATAGGTGGGCACCAGAAATGGGGGGAGAACGACAGGATAGTATGTGTACCTCCTCTCTCTCCGCTCCTCAAGCGTTCAAGGACGGACTCGTCATTGCTCAGCCGCGACAAGGCTTCGATGGCCTCGACTTTCGGAGGTCGAAGGATGTTCTTTTTTTTAATGCGCTTTGCAACGTATCAAGAACCTTTGGAGGAATATGTTGCGCAGCTTTTGGCTCGGCGTGATTCGCGACCGAAGGTGACCCATCCTCCCGGAGAGGCTAGTGAAATGAAGCGCGGCGGTGCGCGGCTATGTCAAGAAGTTCTCGGAAACAAAAATCAACACAACATAAATAAGCACGCACATACAGAAACAAGACCGGGGGAGAACACAATTTGCTAGAAGATGCTAGAAGTGAAGTTTGGCAGGAAGGTTGGCGGGGTACGTGCAAGGTCTTTGCTGGCCACCACTTCACTCACTGCGGGCGTAAACGCGGCGCGTCGGTGAGCGGGATGATTGGCTGTGTCCACGACAAGAAAACACCTGTTTTTGCGAAGATATGTTTGGATACTGGTGGACGTTGTTACTCTCAAAGTACTCTTCTGGACATTCAAGAGAACTCACACAAGCATTCTGAAAAGCACTCCCAAAACAACTCCCTCACAGCACTCGGCATGAGACTCGCTTTCGGACTGGAACAAAGCCATCCTCCAGCATATCCATCAGCAGCCTCAAGCTGCGACGGCGACGGCGAACGCATATGGCTCAAAAGTACGAAACCAGGGGAGAGGACGCTACTAGGAGCAAAGGGCATCGCTACTAGTAACAAGGGACGCTACGTTCGGGGCTCCTGGCCCAACGGAACAAGGTTCGCTACGAACGGAGCTTTTTCGAAGGGACGTCTTCATATTGACGCGGTGCCCCCCTGGGTGCCTGGCCCAACCAGCTGCTGGTCACCCACTTGGCCCAGGCTTCCCAGAGCCACCACAGCCCGAGTACGAACAAAGCAATCCTGGTGCCAAGCCCCCAAAAGAGCAAAACGAACAGGAGTCTGAGGTCGAAAAAAGGAGAGAGAGAGAGAGAGAGAGAGGAGAGAGAAGGAGCCGGAAACTTTTGCGTCTTCCGGAAATTGTTTCAACTCCTCCTAACTCCTCTACTGGCTTCTTGTTACTACTAGTAAGGCACCTGTTACTACTAGTAAGGCACTTGTTTCTACTAGCTTCTTGTTACTACTAGTAAGGCACCTGTTACTACTAGTAAGGCAC